TAGTGTTATAGCAAAAAAGCCAGTACCTAAAGATGTACATGTATGGTGTCTTTGAACAGTTCTGTATTTAGTTCTGTACTTTAGGTCTTTTATCTATCTTGAGTTAACATTTGTACATGTGAGGCAAGGGCCCAACTTCGTTTTTCTGTAGGTGAATATGTAGTTGTCTCCCACTTGTTTAGAGTATTCTTTTCTCATTGAATGGTGTTGGTACCCTTGCAGGAAGATCCGCTCACTGTAAACGCGAAGGTTTACTTCCTAACTTCCTATTTTCTCCTACAATTGGAATTGTTGGCTTACCTGTGTTGTAGGCACAGTCCTAAGCGTGAAGTCCTTCATTCTTCAATACTGTGTGGGTAAGCATCACCCCTACTCCCATCTTACAGATTAAGTAGCCGACGTAAGAGTGACTATCCTTATGCAACTAGTTAGTGACAGAACCAGGATATGAACCAGGGATGAAGTGAGAGCCTGGGCTCGTAATCACGCTGTAAATCATGGCTGGGTGTGGTAGCCCAGGCTAGTAAGAGGCCGAGGCACGAGGATGGCAAGCCTGAGCCCAGCCTGAGCAAATTCAGCACCTTCAATGTTCTTGACTCCAAATGAAAAAACAAACAAACAACCAAAATGGGGGTGGCTTGCTTATTCCGAAGACCGGGGTTTAATTCCAGTACCACAGAAAGATTAAGGAACAAATTTAAAAGCTAGATATCAGAACGTTACAATTCTATTTAACAGTACACTTAAAAAGGACGATTAGCTGAAAGTCACAACAGGGTAACGTCTTGCTAGAGTTGCTTTCACTGAGTTTGGGAAAGAGACCTGTCGCGGGTTGAACGTTGCCTCCGCCAGCAAGGTCACCGCACTCCTCTGGCCCGGAGCTCCCGGGAGAGCGCAGACTTGCGCAGGTGGCCACGCCTAGCGGCGCTGAAGCCGCGCCGGGAAGCTGCGATCTCGCGAGAAAATGTGTCGTTGCCTGGGTAACCGCGTCGCGGAAGATGGCGAGTCAAAGTTTTGGCTTTAGGGTTAGTTCCCCCGCGGACTCCCGGCCAGAGCCAGCCTTCTGTAAACTTCGGTCTGACTAAACCTAGGTCTCTCCCTTTTACAGAGACGCAGCGCCCCAGGGACACCACTCCCGTCGCTGGATCTTCTCGCCCAGGAGCAAGAATACAAGTAAGAGCCTCGGCTTCTCCCCTTGCTGAGGGTCCTCGGGAGCGTCCTCCCGGCAGCGCTGGGACCCCGGGACCTCCGGGAACCCCGGGACCCCGGAACCTCCGGGACCTCGGGGACCTCCGGGACCTCGGGATCTCCGGGACCCCGGGAGCCCGGGACCTCGGGACCTCCGGGAACCCCGGGACCGCGGAACTTCCGTGACCTTAGGTGAATTCTTTATCCTTGTTTTCTAAATTAAAACCATGTTTCTCAGGGCAAGCAGAGAAGCACTAGTGCTAGTTAGAACGGGGCTAGTTAGTTGGTGCTAGTTCGGACGGCTTCCCCTCCCCTTCTGTCTTCAGGATCACTATAGCTGTCCTGAAAACAAAAAGATGAAAAATTCTTCATCTTTCGCTCCCGTTCTTTTTTCGAAGAGCAGCGGTCTCTTAATGTGATTGAGTTGCTTAAAACCGCAGTGTCAGTCTGACTCCTGCAGTCTTTTTATCTATCATCCTGTCCCTTTTCCAGCCTTTTGTTCTCTCGTGACTTTTTTGCAGTTACCATAATTTGTTCCAGTAAGTTCACTTGTTTACTTTTGTGTGTGTGTGTGTGTGTGTGTGTGCCTCCACTGAACTGTAAGTCTCACGAGGGTATTTGCCATATTGTAAACTCTTACAAAAAGTAAAAAAAGAAGAAGAAGAAGAAGAAGAAGAAGAAGAAGAAGAAGAAGAAGAAGAAGAAGAAGTACATTCAACACTATTTCTTTTATTTATTTGTGTGTGTGTGTGTGTGTGGCCAGCTCAGCCCACCAGGGGGCGGGGCTGGCTGGCATGTGGTGCTGGGGGATTGAACCGCGGTCCCTG